TCGGCAGTATGTCATTATATCATACTGTATAGTATCATTATTATATTACTGTAATATTGTCACTATATTATTAGAATTTTGTGGTTTATTTTATCCAGGAATTTAATAGATATAATTGGCTTTTAGAAGAAGGGGGAAAGGTGAAACACCCCAGTCAAGATGGGTGTTGACTGGGAGTACCTGCGGGGGGTGACGGGTGAGGCAGGGGAGTGGAGAGAGGCAGACCTGGAGGAACTCTATCAGGTAAGATGTGTTTTTTTAATTTCTGTCTTTAGGTGAAAAGGAAATCAAACTCAGAATATATGAATTTTGGTCTTGTATAGAAATGATGGTGTATTTATGTGCTTATTAATCATTGTGGTCTTCGTTGTACTTTTATCATATCATTATATCACTGTAGTTTTTTTCTTCTCAAGTTTGGATTCTTGCTTGTGAAATTCTGTACTTACATTTTTTAATTAATTTTCTTTTTGAAGAGTCTTGCTGGTGTAACAAAATTACGACCAAGAGACAAGACGCCAGAGAAACTTGAGTTGCTGTTCACTCTAACCCAGGCAGTGATGATGACCAAATACGCACAGGTAATTCAATAGCGGCTTAAAAAAAAAATAAAATAAAAAAGAAAAATAAAAATATAAAATAAATAAAGATAAAGTTCCTGCACTAGGCATTAAAATTATATAGCATAGACTTTTACTCTCTTACTTTTACGAGGATATAATTATGAAAAGAAAAAGCATCCATTTAGTAATTCTTTTTGGATTTTGACATTATCAGTAGAACCCAGATGAGATTTTAAGATTGAAGAAAATCCTTCCAGGTTGTGACTTTGGAGGAAGAGGTCGGTCGCTTGGCAGAGTCGGCAGGTCGTGGAGATGCCCAAAGAGAGCAAGAGCTACAAGCTGAGATTAAGCACCTGAAAAAATTACTGAAAAGCAGCCAGACGTCAGAAGCTGCCCCTGATGATGATGTTCCTTATGTATGTTTGTGTAGGATAATGTGAACGTGCCAAATGAATATACTAAGTTGTGATCTCTTGTGACAATTTTTTCTGATTGTTTAGATGTGTTATTTCATAGAAAACTATTGAAATTATGTTAGCTAAATATTCAGTATGTGGATATGTTATACATTTTGTTTTAGCATTTTAGGACTAACCTGGTCATGTGAATTTGCTCCTCAGGATTGGTCGAGTGGCTGGAGAATTAAGAAGAAGGAGATGGAGGAAGCTCTGCTAAGGAAAAATGAGGAAATCCAGCAGTTCATGGATGACTTACAGGTAAAAAGAAAAAGAAATTGCCCCCTTTTTGTAAGAATTGTGTAATGTATTGTAACATAATACTCAATATTAGCAGAGACCCATCATTTTCGGTTTTATATGAATTTAGGACAATTTATTTTGATAAAGGTCATAAAAAGTTTATGCGGTCTTAATGAAATATATACATTTTTTTCAGTCCTGTGAGAATGAACGTGCTTCACTCCGTATGACAGTGATGGAGTTAGAAGATCGTTTAGCCGATGCAACAAAGGAGATAAATAGCATAACATCAGATTATATAAATGTCAAGGAGTCCAATAACCATGCTCAAGGTAATGACAGTACCTTGAATGTTTCCTTGTTGTGGTATATGTATTGAAATCTCATGTGTTTGTTATAGACTTTGAAAATAATAGAGATATTTAATATTGAAATTGAAAATGACCCAAAGAACAAGTAGTACAAATGGAGACTGCTGTTATCTTAAATAGAAGGATTGATGTTGTTGTTTTTTACAAGATTAATTATACATATTCTTACATCAGTGTGCATCTTTACCCATTAGAATATGCAATATTGTTAATGAAATATATCTGACTCAAAGAGCACGTTTTGAAGACAGAAAATCTGTTATTGTATATATGAAAATGGATATTATGAGTTTGTTAATCAGTGTAATATTTTACCTAATGCGCAGAGAGTCTATCCATTATTCGAGAAGAAGTTAAGGGTCTCCATTGTCAAGTTGAAGAACTGGCAGCGGAGAAAAGATTTGTGCAGGAGAAATATGATGAACTCAGCACTGCTGTTGATGCTCGAGTTGATCAGCTGAAGGTAAATGCTGCCAGTATTTCACATACGTGTAATATAATGCATTGTGATCTTTAGATTGTAATCCTTTGTTAGCAATATTAGAAATACAATTTTGGGAAGCACTGAGAGAAGTTATCACAAGGATTATGAACTCCTACTTCTCTAAAAGGATTTGAGTGTTCTTAGACCAGTTGCCAGAAAATGCATTTATTAAATGTTTTGTTAGTTTGAACTTCCATCTACAACAGAAGCATCTATAAGTATGTGTTAATGCTGTCTGACTCATGATATTGTAGTATATTAACATGGAACATACTGAAACTGGTGTTATAGATGAATGTTTAAATGGAACAAGATATTTAATGAACACATTTTTGAACAACTGGTCTGAGGATGCCTTTTAACACACTTGCATATGTTGGTTATGTGGTAGATTACAAACTCTATATTAAGAATAACTCATCACATGTCTCGTTTCTGTTTCAGGTTGTTATCAGTCAACGTGAAGAGGAGCTGCAGAGGGTGAAGGCCCAGCTGTTCCAGAGGAGTAACTTGGGTCCTTCCTTCCAGCAGGCTCAGAGTGACATGTCCCAGATACTTCGCTTGGAACAGGTTAGTTATAAGTACGGAACAGCCTGGTTAATTATGAGATTAAAGTGGAGAGACTGCTATTGTAGCAATTGACTGTTTTTTAAATTGTTCTGATGATGGACAAGGAGTTGCAAATAAAGTGCTTTTTACAAATTCACTTGCAGGAGGTAAAGGAGAGGGATGAAGAAATTACTCGTCTCAGTCAGCAGTTAGCTGAAGCCACTCAGGAAATTGAGTCGAGTGCTGTGATTATAAACAAACTCAAGAAGAGTCGAGTGTAAGTGCTAAAGTTTTTATACTACTTCTTCTTCTTTTTCTTTCTTTTTCTTTCTTCTTCTTCTTCTTTCTTCTTCTTCTTCTTCTTCTTCTTCTTCTTATTCTTCTTCTTCTTCTTCTTCTTCTTCTTCTTCTTCTTCTTCTTCTTCTTCTTCTTCTTCTTCTTTCTTCTTCCTCCTCTCTCCTCCTCCTCCTCTCCTCCTCCTCCTCTCTCTCTCTCCTCTTCCTCCTCCTCCTCCTCCTCCTCTCCTCCTCTCCTCCTATTCATTGTCTTCCTCCTATTTATCCTCCTTCTCCTCCTCCTCTATCCTATCCTCCTCCTCCTCCCTCCTCCTCCTCCTCCTCCTCCTCCTCCTCCTCCTCCTCCTCCTCCTCCTCCTCCTCCTCCTCCTCTATTCCTCCTCCTATTCCTCTCCTCCTCCTCCTCCTCCTCCTCCTCCTCTTGCTCCTCCTATTCCTTCTCTCCTCCTCCTCCTACTCCTACTAGTAATAAAGATAATAATGATAATGGTAATGAAAATGATAATACTTTCAAAAAAATTCTTATACTTCCTTCTTTTATATAATTTAACTTATAATTCAAACATTGATTGTTAAGAAATTATTTCTAATTCTTGATAATTTTAATGTTAAGTGAATGTTAGGAAAGTAAAACAGGATATTGTTACAGTTCTGCAGTGGAAGGCGATGCTGCTGTAATAAACCAGCTGCGTGGAGAGCTGCATGAGGCACAGCAGCAAGTGCAGCAGATGCGGACACAGCTCTTGGCCGCGGAGGAAGATGCCCAGCTCCATGCTCAGGATGTAGGTGCAAGTAACTTATTTAGAAAGATTAAACTATTGTGCTTTGAAGTTTAACCAAAAAAAATATTCCAGAAATTTTCAGATAATTTATCAAATATTCTGTCTTGTTTCATCAAAGCCTTCTTTTTAGCTCTCGACAGTTATTGGGGAATTGCAGTCGTACATGGCTGGCGAGTTCTCACTGGCTGATGCTGTGAGGGAGTTGAAGGAAGCAAGGAGTCAGGTCCGCATCAGGGACTCCCAGATCACGCAGCTTACAGCCCTAGCCAATACTTTGCAGATTAACATTAACGATCTGCTGGAGGAAAATGGTAGTCTCAGGTGAGGATGGGTTTCAATGAAGCTAAAAGTAAAAACAAAGTCTCTCGTGACGAATATGGAATAGGGTATTTTTGTAATATTCTTTTTAATGTAGTTTAACAAATTGAATCAAATAGATATATTTAGCTTTTAGATATTGTTTTATTATTTTAGTGTTGTATTTCACTTTACTTTGCGCTTATTAAGTAACAATTCACCTACAGAGAACAACTGAAACTAGAGCCTCGTGAGGACATAGATATCCCAGGTGTTAAGAAAACTGATTGGCAGAATAGTAAAAAGATCATTGACCAGCTCACCAATCAGGTCAACCGACTCCAGGAAGAGAAGGTCAATCTGCGAACAAAGGTAGTTTCTGGTTGTGTTTTTGTCTGTATGATTAATTGGTAGTTGATGTTTTAGGGTGATTATTGTTTTTAATGGTTCTCTCTTCAAGTGTAGGACTTCACATATCTTAGATGTTGAATTATAGCTTAGGAATATGCCAGTCTATTTGAAGTCTAAGTAATGCCTTCAGAAGAATGGGAGTACACTATTGTATGATTTTCCAAAGAGTCTAGGCATATTTGCCAAAATACATACAGAGAGATGTTAATAAGTAAAAAATAAAATGAAAATTACTACATACTGAGAACAGATAGTAAATTGCATAAAGAAAATAGTAAAGTTCACTTATTATTGACAGCTGCAAATTGTAAAGGGAATACATATGAAAAATGCAATGCCAGTTGCAGTCAACAAAATGCACTATCTGGTATGTAAGGAATGTGACTGGCTTTATAGGGCATTTGAATATAATCCACTAAATCAAATGACTTTTCTCCTTGTATTTGCAGGTCTTTGAGTTAACCAGGGAGCTCTCCAATGCTAAGGGGTCTTTGCAACTTACAACACTGGAATTGCCAAGACAGTTTGCATCAGGTTAGTGGTGAGATTAGTTAGGTATTATGCAAGAAAGTATTCTTTTTTTCAGCCTGCTGAAAACAGTGTTTAAAGGCCTAGAAAGTGAGTTTCTTTGGAAAAGTAACAATTAACCAACTGTTTGGTAAAATTGCAGGACAAACATCAATGCTACAAACAACACAACCCCTTGAAGAACAGTTAAGCCATCTGAGTGCAGCTGTTGCCCAGCTGGTGCAGGGTCAACAAGAGGGACCTGTTGATGACCAGCTACACCAGAAAATGGAAGCCCTCAAGGAAAAGTGCTTAAGGTTAGAGCCTTATCTTGACTTGAGAATTTTTTTTTTTGCATGTTTACTTTTCTACTCTGGAAATATTGCAAACATGCATGATCATCAAATATTATCAAGATGTGTGTTGGGAAAGAGTTATCATATTGCCATGAATGGGAAATTGTATTTGATAGGCAGCTTTGCAACTTGTATTAATACTGTTTCCTAGGCTGGAGGGAGAAAGCTCCTCCTTGGAGAAGATAGTGTTTAGAAAGGCCAGCGATGGCAAAAGAAGAGGTCCGATTCAGCGACAAGGACTCAGAGCTCCAGCTCAGTCCTTGAGCCTAAGAGAGAGATGCCGAGAGGAAAGAGAATCTGGCAAGTAAATCTGATCCGTAGCAGTCACTTCCTTGATACTTGATTGCTGCCTTGGGGAAACTTCCCTCCGTCCACCGAAGAAGTGATTGCTAAGCTGAAGAACCAGGTCAAGGAAATTTTCTGATCCCAGCCTGAGGAAAAAAGTTTCACATAATGCCATTTAACTCTTAAGATTTTAAATTATTATTTACCTTATTGTGCTCTAAACAAATCACTCATTTCATTCTATATGTACAAAACCATCTTATACTATGACTTGTGCTGACCTTGTACAAGCCTCAGTTGGCCCGGGTTGCATTGCAATTCGATGAAATTAACTGTTTCAAAGGGTTTGTAGTTTCTCAAGTCACTTTTATGTTCCTCAAGCCATTTTTATTATTTGTATAATTTTTCTACAGTATAGTTATAATGAATGTGATAGACTGTGATATTATATCAATTATTAGCAGGGATACAGTTACCCAAAGACAGATAATAATACGATTATACATAGCTTGATAGAATTAATTTGACACGACACTTATAGACAATGTATCATAATTGTTTAAATTAGAAATATTAGCGTATAGTTCATTATATAGATCCAGTTAACTTAGGAATTTGTTAATCAAAAAGGCGATATTATATTTCATTAATGTCTTAGGTATCTATCGTGCAATAAAGATTGTATTTCAATAATCTTTATCCTAAATCGAATTTTGATAGTAATCGACATCGATTGTATCAGATCTATTTCTACATTCCTTAATATGGAAGAGCTAGTATGATAGATACGATGTTTATATGCAGATATGATAGATAGATTATATATTTAATAGTATTATATTAATATATATATAGTAGTAGTATATATATGTATATGATTATTATATATATATATATTTATATATATATTATATATAATAATATAGTACATATATTCAATATTATTGTTGATTAATGTCTATTATATGTCGGTTATCTATATGTTTACTTATTATAATAAGTGATATGATAATAATCTATATCATATAATATTAATTAATAATATATATATATACTATATTATAGTGGTATGCTGTATGTATATAGATATATATATTATATATTATACATATATATATATATTATATTGTATGTATATGTATATATACTATATATATTATATTATCTATTATCATATCTGATGTACCTTATATATATACTTATGGATCTTAAATACAGCATATGTATTGGTAGCATATATGATAATATATAATTATATATATATATAACTATTTTGCATTATATATATATAAATATATATATATATAATAATATATAATATATATATATAAAAATTAATAATATTATATTATCGATAGTGTTATATCAGAGCTATGAATAGTAATACTATATATATATATAATATATTATGACTATTATATTAATATCATATAATATACTATATATATTATATAATATATAGTGAGTAAATATTATTTAATATACATTATACTATACATATACCACGAAATTACCAATGGAATACCAGATAAATTCTTTTCTTAGTGTTTTTCTGCACCAGTTCATATCCTTACCTACATGTAATATTGCAGTTTGCTAAAGATCGGGATGAATGGCAGGCCGAGAGAAAGTCGCTAGAAGAATCTATATCCCAGCTGGAGGAAACAGTGAAAGCGGAAAGAGCACGCACAGAAGAGCTTAATTCGACCATTGATGCCATTTCATCCAGCCGGGGAGACGTTGATGGGAAGGTAAGGGTGACGTAGGATAGAGTAAAGTAGTGTGGCTGATGTAGGTCCTTGATTAGTCATCATCAGCAGTTAATGTAGTTTTTTTCTGGATGGAAGTGCGATAGTGATTGGGATATTTTTTTTTCTCTTAGATGAAATAAGCTCTAACTTGTAGAAAAGAGATGAATCATATCACATACCGATACAAGAATCACATCCTTACTTTTGTTTTGGTAGCTTGCAAAGAGGACGGCAGAACTGAGGTATGATTTGGCCATAACAAAGAGATTGAGCAGTAACCAGGGGAAGGAAATCACAGCCTTGCACAACAGAATGAGAGAAAAGAATGAAGAACTACAGCAACACGTTCTTCAGAACAAACAGGTTAGTACTTTTTTTCTCCCCTTTCTTTCATTCTTTCTTTGCGAGGCAGTGAAAGTGATTGAGGTTATGATTTGACACTGGACGGTGTTAACTAAATGTAGGTTTGACTTTAATTTCTTTTCATTTTTAGATTTTTTATAGATAAATAGATAATTGTAGGAGATATAATAAATGAATCAGAAGAGAGCAAGTGCCAATTAAGGCCTGTGAATAAGTGTGGTTTAAATTCCCTGCAGCAGAGGAATGAGTTGGAGCAGGAGAAAAGTATACATGGAAGTATTATGCATGGTAGATAAGGAATGAGATAAAGTAAGCGTGAAATCAATTAATAATGTAAAGTGCAGTAAACAACTGGGGTTTTCATTTCCTTCAGGCAAGGAATGAAATCGAGCAAGAGCAAGGGCTTTTGAAGCTCCGCGTGCAGCAGCTGGAGGGGGAGCTCGACCAGATGGTGCCCAGAACTGTGGCCGATCAGACTTCTGCCCAAATGGCTGCCATCACTGCCAAATATAGAGCTCTGTTGCAAGATCAGGCTCGCATGGTTAGTTGCTGAGGATGGATACTTAGTTGGAAATTGCCGTAGGATATCTTTTAAGATGAAACCAGTTATTTTGTTCTGGCATTATTTGTCAAAAGTAATTCTAGTAAACTTTAGCTGAGAACATAGTGCATTATTATTGTTATGATGATGATGATATGATTATTATTAATTGATTATTATTATTATTATTATTATTATTATTATATTATTTTTGTTATTATTATTATTTATTATTATTATTATTATTATTATTATTATTACTATTATTATTATTATTATTCATTTATTTTTTTTATTATTAAGAAAGAGAATCATGAGCAGGGTGTCCGCTTGGAAGCAGAGGTGAAGCAGCTGCTGGAGGAAGAGAGCAGCTGAGTCAACTGGAAAGTGCGAGGGAGAAGGTCCACTTCAGGCTTCCCTAAACCTCGTTGGGGCTAATGTCACCAACGTGCAGGTGCGTCTCCCTCCTCTTGCCTTGATCCCCTTGCTTCATTTATCTGCGTTTGGAGAGTTATAAAGAGAGTAAAGAGTTTGATGTAGACGGGAAGTGTGAAATACATTTGAATATTTTTTTTTGCTCGAAAAAGGAAGTGTAGATGAGATGTAAACTTGTAGATACTTTGTTATACCGGTTATTTTAAAATGCAATGCCAATTTAATCATTTGCAGGAGACTTAGAATCACAAAAAAGTTTTCATTGCGCTTTTTCAGGTGGAGGTACTATCCAAGCAATTAGCAGCTGTGGAACTTCGAGAATTACGCGAAAAACAGAAGGCAGAACATGCAACCACGATGTTCCAGAATGTCAAGAGTAAGGATCAAGTTTCATTCAGTGATGATGACTAAAGTGATTATTTGTGAAATGGATGTGTGTTTTGTGTTTAGCATTCACACTCGCACTACCACTCACACTCATTATCATGCTCACACTGACATTTATAGTCACACTTATATTCGCATTTACATTCACATCCACACCCACTCCTACACACCCACTCTTACACTCACACTCACATTCACTCACTCTCACTGTCACTGTCACTCGCATTCTCACATTTACACTCACTTTTACACTCACTTTCACACATTCAAGCTCCACTCATACTCACATATTGACTCACATAGCTATTGGCCCAAACACACACACACACATGCGCAGGCACACATAGTGATACGGATAGTCACACATACAAACAGCTGTATAGAAAGGAAACAAGTTGCACATCTCAAGCATACACACACACACACACACACACACACACACACACACACACACACACACACACACACACACACACACACACACACACACACACACACACACACACACAGAGAGAGAGAGAGAGAGAGAGAGAGAGAGAGAGAGAGAGAGAAGAGAGAGAGAGAGAGAGAGAGAGAGAGAGAGAGAGAGAGAGAGAGAGAGAGAGAGAGAGAGAGAGAGAGAGAAAGATACATGCATACATACATACATACATACATACATACATACATATATTTACATATACATATATACACATATATACTATATCCTAAATTTTTCAGAGGAGTGTGATGATCTGTACCAAAGAGTGAAGGAGCTACAGAACACAGTGGACACCATCTCTAAGATGAACAGCACCCTACAGATGACAGAAACAGAACTACGATGCCAGCTACAGAGTGCTGTGTCTCGTGAGGACTACGAGAGAGTAACTCAGCACTCGCAGCAAGTCATTGAGGAGAAGGTAGGACAGCATGCAATGTATGTGTGTGTGTGTGTGTGTGTGTGTGTGGTGTGTTGTGTGTGTGTGTGTGTGTGTGTGTGTGTGTGTGTGTGTGTGTGTGTGTGTGTGTGTGTGTGTGTGTGTGTGTGTGTGTGTGTGTGTGTGTGTGTGTGTGTGTGTGTGTGTGTGTGTGTGTGTGTGTGTGTGTGTGTGTGTGTGTGTGTGTGTGTGTGTGTGTGTGTGTGTGTGTGAGAGAGAGAGAGAGAGAGAGAGAGAGAGAGAGAGAGAGAGAGAGAGAGAGAGAGAGAGAGAGAGAGAGAGAGAGAGAGAGAGAGAGAGAGAGAGAGAGTGAGTGAGTGAGTGTGTGAGAGAGTGAGTGAGTGAGTGCTAGGTGCATTTTTTTTTCTATCTTCCTATTTTAATATTTGCTGTAATTATTAACATGGTATCATATTATACATGACTCTGTTTGCAGGCTAAGCTAGCTCTTGATGTGAAACGATTACAAGGTCTGCTCGAGGTTAACACTTACCAGATGAAGCAAAGGGAATTCGTAGAAGCTGTTGACCGAGAAGAAATGGAACAGCTGAGGCAGAAGGCACATGACTTGGCAGCCATCAGTGAGGAACGAATGAAGATAGGTAATGATAATGTGGATGGTAATGATGGTAACACTAGATTATTGATTGTAGTTTCTGATGTGTATGATAATGATATTGATATAGGTTGATAATAATAATGATGATAATGTTGATATATGATGATAATGATAATGATGATGATGATAGTAATGATAATATGAATGCTAATAGTAATAACAATAGTAATAACGATGATAATAAGAATGATGCTCACATAACAATAATAATGTTTATAAGTTTAACTATGTCATTCTCTTTGTACCTATTGATTGATTTTTTTTTTTACTTCTAAGTAAATAATTGATGATAAAGTGATGCAATAAATATGCTTGTAAATAACTAAGTAACTTTATTCTGTATACAGTATTACATTAATATGTATTCAGACAGAAAAGTTCTACTACTGCCAAAGTCTGTTTTCAGAAGAGGATCTTTATATCTTAAAAAAAAATATACAATTAGTAAGGTTTATTTGTTAAAAATGAATTTATGCTTTACAGGTGAGCTCCACCAGGATATTGTCTGTCTCAAAGTTAAGAATTTGGAATTGATAGCAACACAGGAGGAAGCCAAGGTAGCAAATGAAAAACTTTCCATTGAAATATCCCGTTTGAGACAGCAGCTACGAGATCGTGATAGGCTGTTGGAGACAGCAACAGACTCCAGCCGTTCACGTGCCACAAGGTTACATGTCATCATTAGAGATCTGAGGTTTGTAAAGGATATCACAGCTATTTACATACTTGAATTAAAGTGCATTAGACTAATTTTATATTGCTGTTTGTTTTGATTTGAATTCTTGGTTAAATTGACGTGAAACAATTACTTGGTAATTCAAGGATGTTTTGTTAAAAATTGTTTTTTTCTCTTTAACTTAGGCAACAGTATGCGGGTGCTATACCCCTGCACCAGCAAGAGCGCTTGGTGGATTTGATGGAGACGCTGAAGCAGGAGAGGAATGCCTTACAAGTGGCCCTCCAGAAGGCCCAACATGATAAGATGGAGGCTAAGGTTACCCTCAGGCAGCTGAAAATCAAGCAAGAGGCCCTTGATGAGCTCAAGACAGCCCTCACCTCCCCCAAGTCCACAAAGCATGTCGCCGATTGGTGCAGCAAGTTAGAGGAGGCCAAGCAGCGCAATGTGGAGCTTGAGGAGAAGACTCAGATGCTGGAGGAAGAGAGAGCATTGACTCTGGTGAGACTGGAAGGCAAGGAGAGGAAACTCTCAGAGCTCTACTCCCAGATTGCCAGTGTGGAGAAGATGTGGATGGACGAGCAGCTGGTGTGGGAGGAGAGGGAGGCTGAACTGACGCGGGCTTTGGAAAAGCATGAAACAAGGCACCAAGAAGCCTTGTTGGGAATGAAGACCCTGGGCTTCCATGACCTGCCTGACCAAAAGCTGCCTCTCTCCAAGCAGCTGGATCAGGCACAAGACATGCTGCGTAGTAAGTCCACTCTCATTGAAAGGAAGGAAAAGGAACTGGAAGAATGCCAACTAAAGGTAGAAAAGTTAACTAAGGATCTAAGAGAGAAAGAAGTAGCTGTTATTGCACGTGAGAAAATTATTAATGACTTAAGATTGCAAGGAAGCAGCTTGAAGAAGCCATGGACTCCAAGATCAATAATTCAAGAAAGTGAGGAGCAAGAGAGACCTAAAGCATTGCCACCTGAGGAGGAGAGCATCAAGATAGTTGTGGAAGGGCTGAAGGAACGTCTGCGCTTGAGTCAAGAGGCTGTGAACCATTATCAGGACCTGTTGGCTAAGTCACATAAGGAGCAACAGCAGCAGGTAGCAAAACAGAAAGAAGAGTACATCCTTCTGGCTCAAGAAAGAGATGAGCTGGTTGCAAAACTCAGGGACTTACAGTCCCAGCTTGACTCCATTCCAACACGTGACACAGGATCACATGCTCTAAATGAAGCGCAGACTGCTCAGATTCACAGCCTGGAAGATGTGATTAAGACACTTGAGACTCGCCTTGAGGAGAGCAAGAGTCAACTGATGGTGTCTGAAGGAAAGGTGATGCATCTTGAAAGGGAGCTCACTGTCTCACGTCATGAGCATTCTGAAGAGAGAGAGCACCTAGAAGTGTCAGGGCAAGTGAAGGCACAGCAGCATCAGAGGGAAGTTGATCGACTGTTGGGTGAGATTAACAATATTCGACGAGAAAGGGATGAGCTCCGGAAAGAGGTAGCTCTTCTCAAGGAATCTGCAAACCGAACCCCATCTGTAATCCTGAGGACTTTGGTAGAGAAGTTGCGAGACCAACTCATTGAGAAGGAGAAGCAGGTTGCTAAATTGTCTCAAGCAGTACAGGATATGAAGGAGAAAATTATGTTAAATGATGATAAGCAAGAAAATACAGTGAGAGATGAAGAAAAGGAACCAGTTAGCATTGAAAAAGAGGTTGCTCAAGCCACAAGTCGGGCCACTGAAACTATAAAGTCTGAGCTAAAGAAGGTACATGAGGCCAAAAAAGAACTTGAACAGAAGCTCCAGAATCAGACCATGCAGATATCTTCTTTGAAGGAAAAGAACAGTGAGGAAATTGATAAACTGAATGTAGAGCTCAAGACCTTAAAAGCACAAAACCTAAAGCTTGAAAAACAAATGCTGCAACAAAAGCGAGCAAACGGCACAATGAAGCAAAAACTAGAAGATCTTGAAGGGAAATCCCCATTGTCAATAGCCAGAGCTATTGAGAATTTGCGAGAAAAGCTAGAGAAAATGAATGCCACACATGAAATTGAAGAGAATGAGGCCAAAAAGACACAGCAACAAGAACAGATCATTCGCTGGGAAGAGAGAAAGAAGTTGAAGGGAACAATGGACAAGCTGAAGACCAGAGTAAAGGAACTGGAAGAGGCCCAAGGCATGAGCCAGAAGAAGTTGGAAGCCAGCAAGGATTTGCTCAGTCGAGTTGAAAAGGAGAAGCTGATTGTGCAGCACAAGCTTAACACCATGAGCAGAGTATCAACTGAGCAGATGTGTGGTGTTTGCTTGAAGGCTCTAAATCCAATGGAGATGGGGAACATATCTACAACCCCAGATGTTCCTCCTGCACCACGCACAAGCCGTTCAACAAGCAGGTCAAGGAAAAACAGAGTGAGCCCCTCTCCAGACAGGAGGGAGGGAGGAGTAGTTAGCAGGGTTCCTCCAAGAAGTCCAAAATTGGTTAAGAAGACCCAAACAGATCAAGATGAAAGTGAAGTTCAGTTTCGATCCCAGCTCAAACAGGCCTTAGAAGAAAAGCACAAACTGGAGACACGATTAAAGGGTGCTATAGAGGAGATAACAGCCCTAAGGGTTAGGCTGCAGCAGAAGGAAGAGGAAGAAGAGAGGTTGATAGTGGATAGAAGCAGCCCGATTGCCAGACGTGTAGGAGGGGCCGCAGTTGTATTGGAATATGAGTCTCGAATAGCTTCTCTGGAGGAAGAAGTGCGGCAGAAGACGCGCTTACTGGCTCATGTAAAACAGGTTGTACGTGAAGCAGCTGCCAGGGAAGAAGTCCTTGTGGGAGAGAAGGAAGCCTTACTACAAAAAGTGACTTTGTTGGAAAGTGTTTCAGAAGACACTCCTGCTGCCCATCTTGTTCATGAGCTCCGCCAGGCCAAGCTGACAGTCAACAGGCAGCAAAGGCTATTAGAGCATATGCAAGGAAAGTCATGAGTGTATAAAAAGGAATTTTGGGTGATCTCATTTCTCAGAAATATGACAAGTGCTGATCACTTTAATCCAATGAGTAAGCTATTTTCTGAAAGTCTGCCATTTCCATTCCTTTGATATATGTAGTCTATGAAGACATAAAAATAATACATTTATGTATATATTCATATCAGAAAAGAAATATGTTCTAAGAAAATTTACAGCAAGTATAATTTCATTACTATTTACACTGGACTATTTTAAAGATCTAGTTATATATGCCAAAATATTTGGGAAGTCAAATTATTCTTTGAATTTTACCATTGCCTTGCAGGTATTAACATACTATTGCACTCTTATTTACTATTAACCTGAAAACGAGTATGTAAAGTATTATTTTAATTATTTATGATATTCCTGAAATGAAAATGATTACAGATTTTTGTAAGATATGGTATTGCTCAAAACCACAGTCAGAGTTCTTGACAGTATCCTCTCTTTTTTCTACTTTAATATAATGGCTGTAGCAGTAGGAACAAAGGTTTTAAGCCATGCTGGTTTAGATCGTGAAGAAAGAGCGAAAATGAAGCTGCTTTTGCCTGTAATTGTGTAGATGCAGTAAACTAAAAAGAAAGTACAATTACTAATGGTTGCTAGAAATCTGATAGACTTCAAGACGATAGTCTGTTGGCTTAATGAGAGTATTAGTTTTGTGTAACGTACGAAAAGGCTGAATTCAATGCAGAAATAATATCCTGCTTTTCGGTATATTTGAAAGCTTTGAGATTAAAAGGGATTAAACAAGCTTGCAGTTCCCGTGATTTTAAGAAACTGCTTCGTATTTTCATTTATGAATTTTGAAGTGTATTTTTTTTCTTAAATGCAGTTATAGCACATTACTGCATTTCTATTCTGTAGGGAAATACGTGCTATTCTCTTTAGTGCTGTTGGGATTTCTATTTTTGAAACTTTGAAGTTTCCAGGGAGTTTTAAGGTCCGAAAAATATTTTTTTGAAAGAGAATATATTTTTTAGATAGTTTAGATCTGACGAACTAAGGAATATATTTGAATGTAATTTGATATATTTCTTTTGATAAACTGTCGCTTTATGTGTCAAATAAATGCACCTTAGGCAGAAAAATAAGGAAGCAAGAAAGCTGCTCTTTGCTCTCTCTCTTCTTCTTTGGTCTCTCTCTCTCTCTCTCTCTCTCTCTCTCTCTCTCTCTCTCTCTCTCTCTCTCTCTCTCTCCTCTCTCTCTCTCTCCTCTCTCTCTCTCTCTCTCTCTCTCTTTCCTCTTCCTCTTCTTTCCCTCGCCCCTCCCCTCTCTTCCTCTCTCCTCTCTCCTCTCTCCCTCTCCCTCTCCCTCCTCCCCTTTCTCCTTGCCCTTCGTCCCCTTCCCCCTCTTTTCCCTTACCCCCCTTTCCCTTTCCCTTCTTCCCCTTCCCTCTTCCCTTCCCCTTCCCCCTTCCCCTTCCCCTTCCCCTTCCCCTTCCCCTTCCCCTTCCCCTTCCCCTTCCCCTTTCCCTTCCCTTCCCTTCCAAACCATACCACCACGTAACCAAAATATATATATACGTGTGCGTGCATGTTCGTGCTTGTCTGCGTGCCATTTCCCACTACTATCCCTTCCGATTAAGAAACGGTTACAAAAGAACAATAAAAAAGTACCCAAGAACATAGTTATTACCCGACCTGCCGAGTCTGACCGGAGAGAGAGAGAGAGAGAGACCTTGGGTTCACTGCCATATCCGTCCATTGTGAGGAGTACACGCTGCTAGTCATACTGTCGACGCTTTAATAAATAATTTAGGGAGACTTCGGTTTGTTTATCTTTTCCTGTTTATGTGATTGTTGTTATTGTTAGTATTAATGATCTTGGTGGCTGTTATTGTTATTAGTCATCCTCATCACTGCTATTGCTGTTGTGACTATAATGGTGGTGGTGATGATAATGATGGTAATAGTGATAATAATAGTGATGATGATGGTAATTGTGATGATAACAGTGATGATGATGGTGATGAAAAATGATTATAATGACACTGGTAATAATAATAGTGATGATAGAATTACTAATGCTGGAAATGCTGGCCACGCAAAGCCGGTTGGAATTTGGAGTCACAAAGTGCAAGTAAAGATTATGAAAAAAGGAAAGGTATTAAAAAATGGAACAGTGCAAGATGATGGAAAACATATACATGGAAGAAAATAGTAATGAAAAAAATGGTATTTTAATAGCTGAGAAAACACAAAACACAAAAAATAAAATCAACATTTCCCACGGCGAATACAAAATATGGCCGAGTTTGTTTTTGAAGAGTAAGCTAGAATAGAAAGAATTACAGCCATTTAGCACCTGGACAATGTCTGTTTTGAGGCCTTGGAATTTCAAAAGGGGAACCAATAAGAACCGGGAGAGGGGAATAGGCTCACACGGAAGAGAAATGACAAAGGCAGGGACTCTTAACATGATGTGCAACGTAGACAATGTATGAGAGTGCGAGGTAGGCAGGGTATGATGAGCTGTGAGGGTTATGTGTGAGGAGAAAGAGGAGAGAGAGAGAGAGAGAGAGAGAGAGAGAGCAGAGAGAGAGAGAGAGAGAGAGAGAGAGAGAGAGAGAGAGAGAGAGAGAGAGAGTGAGAGAGAGAGAGAGAGAGAGAGAGAGAGAGAGAGAGGAAGAGAGAGAGAGAGAGAGAGAGAGAGAGAGAGAGCAGAGAGAGAAGAAGGAGGAGAGAGAGAGAGAGAGAGAGAGAGAGTTTATGGAGAGGAGGAGGTGTGTGTGTGAGAACAGAGAAGAGAGAAAACAGTACAGAGAACAGAGAGTAGTTAGGATAGATAGAGAGAGGAGAGGAGTAGAATGCAATACTGTTGAGGAAATGCAGGAGGAATTCTTAAACTAGAACAGCCGTATGTAAGTAAAGTACGATTTCAAGAATGGAAACTGACGAGATAGAAAGAAGGCAAAACAGACCATGAGACGGAGAGAAATAAAGCCAGATATATATATATATATATATATATATAAATATATATATATATATATGTATATGTATGATATATATTTATTTTTTTTTGTTTTTGTTTTTTTTTTTTTTTTTTTTTTTTTTTTTTTTTCTTTTTGACAATGCATAACTCAAAGTGTGGCACTCACAAAGGACGCGGCTACGGATAGAAATTTTGGAACTAGACTCTATTAATGCGCAGCAAAGAGACGTATCGTACGACCGAAAACGAGTCAAATACACGTTGGCCA